CTTTTTACTTGGGCCTTGCCTAGAGAATGATGATCTGACAATGGATCTGAAAATGGAATTGTAAATCTTAAACCTAGAAAATTACATTCTGGTCTCAATAAATGTATTTCCCTAAAAAAAAACAAAATAAAAAGTAAGACTTAACCTACTTATTGAGAGGATGGTCCCACAAACTAGAGTAACTGAGTAGCAATGGCAGAGGTCTCCTCTCCTGGCCTCTGGATATGTTAGTCCTGCAGCTTTGTTCAATACAGAAGGTATGAAGAATTCACCAAGAGTTGAACTAGCAAGTCAAAAAGCAAAGTTTCAACAGGTGCCAGTGGCTCACCCCTGTAGTTCTGGCTACCCAGAAGGCTAGAAGATTGTGGTTTAAAGTGAGCTGCAGCAGAAAAGTTCATGAGAGTCCATCTCCAAAATAACTAGCAAAAAGTCAGTTTGGGAGCCGGGTGCCTGTGGCTCATGTCTGTAATCCTAGCTACTCAGGAGGCTGAGATCTGAGGATCGTGGTTCAAAGCCAGCCGGGGCAGGAAAATCTGTCAAACTCTTATCTCTAATAAACCACCAGAAAAACTGGAAGTGGCGCTGTGGTTCAAGTGGTAGAGTGCCAGCCTTGAGCTGAAGAGCTGAGGGATAGTGCCCAGAGCTCAAGCCCCATGACCGAAAAAAAAAAAAAAAAAAAGTTAGTTTGGTTGTGGTAGAGCACCTGCTGAGCAAGCAAACTGAGTGTTAGGTCCTCAGTTCAAACCCTAGTACCAGGAAATAAAATAAAAGGAAAGGAAAGGAAAGGAAAGGAAAAAGAGGGAGAGAGGGAGGGAGGAAAGGCAGGTGGGAAGGAGGAAGGGAAGGAAAGTAAGGTTTATGCACTTTCCAAAAAAGGAAAGGGACCATAAACAGCATTAGCCCTGTGGGATATTCAGAATAAAGCTTTAAAGGCTTTTTGTAAGGCAGGTGTAGGATGCTGGGAGGGGGGCCGGAATAGGCAGTAGTTGGAACCTTTGATGAATGGTGGGATGTGTCCTGATTAGGCCATCATGCTGACTAGGAGGTCGTTTTTCCTGGACACATGCCAGTGTTTCTGGGTACCATGGTTTCTCAGAAAATAGCAGAATTACTTCCTGAGTCTGAAAAAGATAAAGCAAAGTTAGGCAAGAACCTGTTCAAAATGGGATTTAGATACAAAAGGAAATTACTCACTCCTGTATCTTGGCTTCATAGGGAAGGCTTGATAGAAGCATATGGAAGTGTTTTATATTTGGGGTGTACAGTCTAGAGGAAGAAACAGTGGGATGTCCATGGGTGTAGAGATTATCTATTAAAATAAGACTCAGCAAGAAGTGTATAGGTAATAGAGAACTGAAGAGAAAGTGTATGAAATAGAATATATGATTTAGAACTTAGTAAGTGGTACATAGGCAGACAATGCAACGAATCTAGGGCAGGTCTTGTTAGGTGATTCATAGGTAGAGAACACAGCCAGTCTTGAGTATACGTTAGCAGGTAATACCTGAGGAACTTAGCATCTACTTAGAGGATGACTCAGCAGGAAATACACAGGTAGAGTAGCCAGTTTTAGGGGAGGAGCCAACCCTAAAATAATCCTGACAGAATATCTAAAGAAGAACTAAGTAGATAGCCCATGAGTTAGGAGTGATGCTAAGTGTGGGGAAGATAAGACTAAAAGATGAGAATGGCTACAGGGAAATATTGAAGGAAGTACCAGGTGGAGGATTGATTTCTCTCTCCTAGGAGAAAACAGGACAAGAAATGCTAATGTGGAAGGCACAGTCTATCTAAGAAAGGACATGACATGAGGTGCATGGGTGTAAGGCCAGTTAGCTTAGGGAAGAATTTGCCAGAAAGTACAAGGGTAGAGAGGGAATATCCCAACTTAGGCTAGATTCAACAGAAAAAGAATTGATGGAAGAAAATCAGCCTTGAGTGTTGGTCAGTAAGTATATGAGTGAACATAGATGATTGTTGTACAGAAATTTATATATTAATCAAAGTGACAATAACACTACTTAACAAACATAATATTTAAATGACTACCTATAAGCCACTTAATTTTATCAAAAGACCTATGTCAGCTTAGGAAAATAAAAATTGACCTATGTATTAAAAAGCATGCTTATGTTGTATTTAGCATTGATAAATTAATGTTAAGTTTATTAAATACTAAAGATTAACATTTTTTCAAATGTCTATTTAAATCAATGATATAGTTTTGATTTTTTTCTTTTTTGCTGATACTGGGGCTTGAACTCAGAGCCACAAACTCTCACTTGGCTTTTTCACTCAGGGCTGGTACTCTACCACTTTAGCCACACTTCAACTTCTGGTTCTTTTGCTGGTTAATTAGAGGTATGAGTCTCACAGATTTGTTTTTCTTGGGCTGGCTTTGAACCACAATCTTAAGATCTCAGCCTCCCGAGTAACTAGGATTATAGGCATAAGCCGCCAGTGGCCAGTGATTTTTTTTTTTTTTTGTCGGTCGTGGGGCCTGAACTCTGGGCTTGGGCGCTGTCCCTGTGCTCTTCAGCTCAAGGTGAGCACTCTACCTCTTGAGCCACAGCGCCACTTCTGGTTTTCTAGTGGTTTATTGGAGATCAAAGTCTCATGAACTTTTCTACCCAGGCTGGCTTTGGACCATGATCCTCAGATCTCAGCCTCCTGAGTAGCTAGGATTACAGGCGTGAGCCACAGGCGCCCGGCTTGGCCAATGATTTTGAATTGTAAAACAAGTTTATTTTTTTTAAGAATTTGCATTATCTAGTGTGATACATTTATAAAATGAAAGATTCAAATTTCTTTATCCTCAGGGAAATTTAGAACTTTTCAATTTATTTAGCTAGGTATGACAAAATAGTGCTGTTATGAGGTAAGGGGGCACATTGTCCACTCATTGGTAACTCCTCTGTACATCACCTTTACAATAACAACTTAAAAGGAAAATAAAATTAAAGATTTTTTAAAAAGAATAATGCTCATTAATTTTAAAGAATTTATAGTATAATAAGTAACAAGTAGAGAAAGTAAATATTTTACTTACATAACAAAACTGAAGACATTTCTGAAGTAGGGAATCATAGGCATACTAGCCCAGGAACAGAGAACTTTTCAGCTCAATTTCACAAGTCTCAATCAGGGGTGAAGAATAAACAGAGTCAGGCGCTGGTGACTCATGCCTGTAATCCTAGCTATTCGGGAGGCTGAGATCTGAGGATCATGATTCAAAGCCAGCCCAGGCAGGAAAGTCTGTGAGACTCTTATCTCCAATTAACCACCAGAAAACCGGAAGTGACGCTGTGGATCAAGTGGTAGAGTACTGCTCTTGAACTAAAGAGCTCAGAGACAGTGCGCAGGCCCAGAATTTAAGCCTTACGACCAACAACAACAACAAAAAGAGTAAACCTGGAAACATAAAAACTCATATCAAAATCCAATAGCTGTTCCTCTTCCAGAAAGCATGAAATTTTCCATATTAACCTGAAAATAAACAATGGACAAACTAGATTCTGTATTTTCTCCCACACATCAGAGAGCAGAGCTCTTTCAATGATCAATTCATTAAAAAGAAAGCCAGAGCTGAGCGCTGATGGCTCAAGCTTGTAATCCTAGCTACTCAGGAAGCTGAGATCTGAGGATTGTGGTTCAAAACCAGCCCAGGAAGGAGCTTCCTGAAACTTTTGTCACCAATTAACCACAAGAAAACCAGGAGTGATTCAAGTGGTAATGTGCTCAACTTGAGCTGAAGAGCTTAAGGACAGTGCCCAAGCCCAGAGATTAAGCCCTTTGACTGACAAAAAAAAGAAAGAAAGAAAGAAAGAAAGAAAGCCAAACCATCAGACTATAAAACAAATTCTCACCATATGTCTAATGTCTAAGCAATTACATCATTTGGCATATATACAAGGAAAGTAAACACCTATATTCACACAAAACACTGTACCTGGATGTTCAAAGCAACGATCTTTTATAATAGCCAAGCAAGAGAAATAACATGATAAACAGAAAGTGAAGAATGCATGTAATGGACTGTTTTATAGCTAGATGGTGAATGGAGTACTGATAAGCATTATGATGTATATGAAGCCTGACGATGTGCAAAGGGAAAGAAGCAAGATATCAAAAGCTATATATCATTTATGTAACAAGTCTGGAAGAGGAAACTCATAGAGGGTAGTAGAGCAATATTTTTCAAGGAATTACATGAGAGTATATTATATTCGGAGAGGAGAGTCCAAACAGGTAGTCTTGGGCTTTACACATATATGTAGTACACTTCTCTCACTGGAGTTTCTGTGCCTTTAAGAGGTAAATCAATTGGACATAATCTGGGTTTCTCCTCCAAAATGAATACAGATAATTATTCAAAACTGTAAAATTATGACACTCAATCCTATCTGAATGTGTTGTAAAATATTTATCACATAAAAGTTTGGCAAATGTTAAATTAGCATACACTATAATCACTTCAAAGGGGAATAATAACACAAATAATATCGATAACAGAAATAGTAAGAACATTGAGATGAATAAGGAAATGGGGCGAACACTGGTTTGAGTCTTGGGTGAAACAAGGACAATTGAGCCTCTAGTGGAGGTCTGCCATGTCTGTCACTGACTTAGAACTTACAGAAGAATGTAAAAGCTCAGAAGTAATAGAAAAGAACAATCCCATAACCTGGAGCTGCATCCTAGAAAGAAGTTTTTCCACTAAAGCAAAGAATCTCCGAGAATATGAAAATCAAGTGGTAAGGGTTCCCTCAGAATCAGAGTCCAGAACTGAGTGAGCAAAGTCCTCTGGGGAAAACACTTCTAGACCTAAGCCTGACCATACTTCAGTGGTCCCCAATGACATCACAAAGTGCAGGTGGTCACAAAGGAAGTACTTGGACTTAAAGCCTGATCATTCCAGAGGCCCAGGTTAGAAAGAACATCACCTGAGCTAACAAGAACACATAGCAAACAGCATAGCTAGAAATAAAGAAGGTGAGAACATGCCGAAATCTAAGAGAAGACCTACGACCCGCTCTGCAAGGGCTGAGCTCCAGTTTCCTGTTAGCCGTGTGGACCGGTTCCTGCGTGAGGATAAGTACGCCCAGCGATTGTGCTCTTTAACACCCGTATTCTTGACTGGCATTCTCGAGTATCTGGTGTCCAACATCCTAGACCTGGCTGGCAAGGAGGCCCGTAGAAACGGCACGACATGCATCACCCCGGAACACGTGAAGATGGTCGTGGAAAACCAGAAGGAATTCCAGTTCATCCATCATAACATCAAAGCTCTAGGTGGTGAGATGACCAAACCCAAAGAGTGATGCTGCATCAAGCACGGTGCGAGTTCAACAACCTCATCTGTCCTCTGAAATGTCCACACATCATTGATGCTTATTAAATAAAGCATTTGGACCAATGCCAGTGGCTCTGAATCCTCAGTTCGTCGTTGTGAGTGGGAGGGGCCCATAGACATCCAGAGGCGCTACCCCATGGAGGGTTGAGGGTTGAGGGGTGGAAGCTGTGGTCAGCAAGGGGTGCATGACTAGATGATTTCAAGGGAGCACTTTTCATGGGGGGCTGTGTGGGCAGTGGTCCTGGTGGGAGGAGGCGGCTGAGGAAGAGGACAGAAAGGGTGTCCTCCTGGGCTCTGAGGAAGAAAGGCCTTAGGAGGCCACAGAAGTGGCTGGAGACCCCCAAGGCATGTTGGTAACTGGGGAGGTGCCAAAAACCCTGATAGGGGTGGAGACTTTCATCTCCACTGAATGGAAGGGTTCACATTAGACAGAGATGGGAGTGGGTTTGGGGGAGAGGGTGGCACCCAGTGGGTATGGACTTTAAGGGGGCATTCACATGAAGACTCAGGAGTGATGGTGAAGCTACAAGAAAATGTACAAAATACAACTACACGTGATTCTTGTAAGTACTCTGTGCACTGCTTTAACTTAGACGTAAGATTCACACCAAGTATCACAGCGATCTGTTCCCTTGACTGGGAGGGGTCACGTTTGAAGTCCTCGAGGGCTGCTGTCTGCTGGCCTTTCACAGAGGCAAGCTCAGAGGCTGCCCACTTAGCTTCCTCCACAGACTCAGAGGATCCGTGTTTCTCCTCCCACACACTGCTTTCCAGTCCCATTGTCTTGGACATTTCATCTGCTCCCTCTCAGCAGTACTTTCCTTATATAAGACAAAGAAGAAGAGTCCCTTCTTCTTTAGTGCTCTCAAATGGAAGTCTACTTGTGCTTGCAAACTGCTGCTTCACACAGCAACTCATATGGAATCACCCTTAATCAGCTGCATCACCTTCCTTCCATATCCACACAGGATCAAGTGTGCTTTGTCATAATACCAGGCCTGATACTTAGATGACTGCTGCCATCACAAAGGCTGAAAATCCGTTTGTCCTTTGGAGAAAGAAGGGACCAAAATGAAAGATATTAACCAGGCAAGGTAGCCTCTGCTCCTTGTGCCTGGTAATTTTCACCTACTCTCTGCTTCTGTAGAAGCTGAAGAACCTGGCCTGGCCTTTGGCTAATCATAGGATTGTCTTAAGAATAGAAGGAGTAGAAGATGTGCATGTACAAATTCAAACATTTTCTTGTCACATAATGCTCACTGACCCTTGTATTTATAGAAACCTCATTGTCAACACTTTCCATCCTATAAATTTGTGATTGCTTGTAGAGTCATCAAACACACCTTAACCAAGATCACTTCTTACTTCTCAGTTCATTTGAATAGCAAAGCAAAAAGTACTGCTGAGAGGGAGCAGATGAAATGTCCAAGACAATGGGACTGGAAAGCAGTGTGTGGGAGGAGAAACACGGATCCTCTGAGTCTGTGGAGGAAGCTAAGTGGGCAGCCTCTGAGCTTGCCTCTGTGAAAGGCCAGCAGACAGCAGCCCTCGAGGACTTCAAACGTGACCCCTCCCAGTCAAGGGAACAGATCGCTGTGATACTTGGTGTGAATCTTACGTCTAAGTTAAAGCAGTGCACAGAGTACTTACAAGAATCACGTGTAGTTGTATTTTGTACATTTTCTTGTAGCTTCACCATCACTCCTGAGTCTTCATGTGAATGCCCCCTTAAAGTCCATACCCACTGGGTGCCACCCTCTCCCCCAAACCCACTCCCATCTCTGTCTAATGTGAACCCTTCCATTCAGTGGAGATGAAAGTCTCCACCCCTATCAGGGTTTTTGGCACCTCCCCAGTTACCAACATGCCTTGGGGGTCTCCAGCCACTTCTGTGGCCTCCTAAGGCCTTTCTTCCTCAGAGCCCAGGAGGACACCCTTTCTGTCCTCTTCCTCAGCCGCCTCCTCCCACCAGGACCACTGCCCACACAGCCCCCCATGAAAAGTGCTCCCTTGAAATCATCTAGTCATGCACCCCTTGCTGACCACAGCTTCCACCCCTCAACCCTCAACCCTCCATGGGGTAGCGCCTCTGGATGTCTATGGGCCCCTCCCACTCACAACGACGAACTGAGGATTCAGAGCCACTGGCATTGGTCCAAATGCTTTATTTAATAAGCATCAATGATGTGTGGACATTTCAGAGGACAGATGAAGTTGTTGAACTCGCACCGTGCTTGATGCAGCATCACTCTTTGGGTTTGGTCATCTCACCACCTAGAGCTTTGATGTTATGATGGATGAACTGGAATTCCTTCTGGTTTTCCACGACCATCTTCACGTGTTCCGGGGTGATGCATGTCGTGCCGTTTCTACGGGCCTCCTTGCCAGCCAGGTCTAGGATGTTGGACACCAGATACTCGAGAATGCCAGTCAAGAATACGGGTGTTAAAGAGCACAATCGCTGGGCGTACTTATCCTCACGCAGGAACCGGTCCACACGGCTAACAGGAAACTGGAGCTCAGCCCTTGCAGAGCGGGTCGTAGGTCTTCTCTTAGATTTCGGCATGTTCTCACCTTCTTTATTTCTAGCTATGCTGTTTGCTATGTGTTCTTGTTAGCTCAGGTGATGTTCTTTCTAACCTGGGCCTCTGGAATGATCAGGCTTTAAGTCCAAGTACTTCCTTTGTGACCACCTGCACTTTGTGATGTCATTGGGGACCACTGAAGTATGGTCAGGCTTAGGTCTAGAAGTGTTTTCCCCAGAGGACTTTGCTCACTCAGTTCTGGACTCTGATTCTGAGGGAACCCTTACCACTTGATTTTCATATTCTCAGAGATTCCTTGCTTTAGTGGAAAAACTTCTTTCTAGGATGCAGCTCCAGGTTATGGGATTGTTCTTTTCTATTACTTCTGAGCTTTTACATTCTTCTGTAAGTTCTAAGTCAGTGACAGACATGGCAGACCTCCACTAGAGGCTCAATTGTCCTTGTTTCACCCAAGACTCAAACCAGTGTTCGCCCCATTTCCTTATTCATCTCAATGTTCTTACTATTTCTGTTATCGATATTATTTGTGTTATTATTCCCCTTTGAAGTGATTGTAGTGTATGCTAATTTTAACATTTGCCAAACTTTTATGTGATAAATATTTTACAACACATTCAGATAGGATTGAGTGTCATAATTTTACAGTTTTCCGTCTGGTTTTTACAGGAAACATGAAGTCTCCAAATCCAAATGCCCCTCTCACATGTGGAAGGAATTTTCCACTCGAGAAAAATGAGAAAAGTGTAAGACTCACTTCCTTTAGGAAAGCATAGGCCTAACCAAGTTTTTGCCTTTTATCCTTTTCTGAAAAGTAGAAATGGTATATGGTGAGAGAGGATTACTTCTAGCTTAGGTCCCAGAGAGAGGAAACCATTAGTGACCTGTGTCCTGGTGAGTAAGGAAATTCTGCTAACCAAGTAGATGATCATTAAGAGTCTGACATGGATCAATGTAGTAGAAAGTATCTATATATCTATGGGAATACATGCACCAAGGGTCAAGCTTGATAGGAACTCAAAGGATTATACTGGCTTGGTTTTTTCATCAACCCAAGAACTAGGAACTAGGCTAGGATCTTACGGAAAACATTTTATGATAGCAGAGGTTTTTTAACGATGCAGTGCCTCTAATCCCAGAATGTTATAGATCCTGTAGTATATAAGCAAAGAGAGAAGACAGCTTGGCACTTTACAAGTTCCTCTATTCAACTCAAACACATTATTCCTAGTGCAAAAAACAATTAGAGTAGAAGCTCACATACCTAATCTGGAAGGTAGATTAAGTTTGTTAGTTCTACACAGGAATTTTAAGAGAAAATTAGCTGCCAATGTTTAAAAATTAAGGACATTTTGTGTAAGTATACAGATTTTTTTCCTCTTAAGAAGTCAGAATCTGGGTATGTACATGGTTACAGTCCACTAGAAAGGACAAGGTGATATCCCATTACAGCAAACATTTGATTTACTATAATCTTCATTCATTTCTACTGAGTTTCATGTGTTGTATCTCTTGAATCATTTATTATCAATACCATGCTTATATTCAACCAGTAAAAATTAATATGTCAATACTAAGCCACAAAAAATCTTAATAGAACTACAATTAGTTTTATTGCTCTAGAGGTATGTTCTAAATCTAAAGCAAGGCAATGTGAGGACCTGTATTTGGTATTATTGTAGTCTTTTTCTTCTAATGTCCTTTACAAAACTGTAAGGACAACTTTCTTTGTATGTTATGGATTTTATTATAACATTGAAGGAAACTATCTCTAAAATTCTGTTAAGGTAAAATGTACTAAAGTGGAACAACTTAGAGGCAAATTTGATAAAGTACATATTATATCTTAGTGTTCTAAAATGTAGAATGAAGGTCAGTCACATAGGATAAAGGAGATTCTGATTGACACAAAAGAGTCAATACAGTAAAAGGCAAGGAAGTAGTTCTTTTTTCCTCTAGGGTTGCTTATTCTGGGTCTATCAGTGCTTATGTGGTCGAAGTTAAAAAAAATATTAGAAGCTTTCTCAAGGTGTACAATCACTAGACTACCATATTTTCCTAAGAAAAAAATTCTTCTGAGGGAGAGAATGGGTAGTAGGGGGGAAACAAAGAAGGGGGTAACAATGCTTGGTAGGGAATGTACTCATTATCTTACTCATGTAACTGTAACCCCTCTGTACAGTATCTTTACACTAAACAAACATTAAAAAATTTCTACTGAAAGTAGAAATTGGATAAAGGAAACATGTGTGTGTGTGTGTGTGTGTGTGTGTGTGTGAGTGTGTATGTGTGTGCTATTAAGGAACAGAAGTTTTTGATGGGCTGCATATTACAGCTGAGGCCAACAAAGACCAGAGATAGTAATAAGCTCTCCAAAGGTTACAAAACAAGCAGGCATCATAGAAATAAAAGTATCTTGAGATAG